GAGCATTTTTAATTTATAAAACTATGATGAATAATATCATCTTATAGCTCTTATCCTAAATTATTTTATGAAAATTATAAGTCTTTCAATTATCTATTGTATATAAATAAATAAATGATTCATTTAATAACTAATACATTTTTTTTACACATTATCATTATTACAATGAAATTAATTTTTAAGAGTATCTAAAATGTATCTGAAGATACTTTCAAAGTATTTGATATCTGTACCTATATACATCTTAATATGTGTATCCATATCTATATTATATTTTCGTATATGTAACTGCATCTGTATCTAGATATATTTTAAGAGTATCTTACCTATCACTGTTTACTGGATCTAAAATAATTCTTCATTTACATTCCTAAATCTTAGATTTGTACGATTTTTTTAACGCGATATCTTTAATGATATTTCTACTGTTTGTTTTCCAGAGAGCGATCTGGACCACAAGTTCCAATCTCCAAACCGTTTCCGGTTGTCCTTCAACCTAAGCAGGATACCTAGCGGCGAGATGTTGCAGGCAGCGGAGTTGAGTTTAACGCGTGTCGCGGTGGCGGATGTCGAAAATGTAAGGGCGGAACGTAAACGCGGCCGGATACTGGTGTACGACATAATACGACCCGGCGTGAAGGGTCATAGCAAGCCGATATTGCGGCTGATAGACAGCAAGGTGATCGATACGACGAAGAACGCCACGATTAATCTAGATGTGCATCCAGCCGTGGTGAGATGGATAGAGAATCATCGGGATAACCACGGGCTGCTGGTGCACGTGACTGGTGCGCTAGCCCGCACACAGGAACACGTGCGGCTGAGACGGGCCGTCGACGAGCACAAGGACGCGTGGGTGGTGAGACGGCCGATGCTTTACACGTACATGGACGACGGCCGTTACGAGATGGCATCCGCGAATCAGATACTGGACCGACGAGCCAGGCGAGCCACCCTACGGAAGAATCGGCGGAAGGACGGTCGCGAGAATTGCCGGCGGCATCCGCTCTACGTCGACTTCGCGGACGTCGGCTGGAACGATTGGATCGTCGCGCCGCCCGGATACGACGCCTTCTACTGCCACGGTGATTGCCCGTTTCCTCTGGCGGACCATCTGAACTCGACGAATCACGCGATCGTGCAGACCCTCGTTTACTCAACAAAGCCGACAATGGTACCTAAGGCGTGTTGCGTGCCAACCGCGCTCAGCTCGATATCGATGCTTTATCTAGATGAGGAGAATAAAGTAGTGCTGAAAAACTATCAGGACATGGCGGTCCTTGGATGCGGTTGCCGTTAAGACGGCTGACAGCACTATTTTTATTCTATACGATCAACATAATCATTGGTCGAGCAGGATAAGTTGAAGTATTATCCCACACAGCGCTATGTCCGAAATCGGAACATAAGACGTCTATTTTTCTTATTTTCTATGGATTTCCGACCCAATTAGATGAATTTATCGCATAGGTCTCTCGTAGTACTATGCGATAAATTTGTGTATTTGACTTCCTTGGGGAGCAGAGAGCATACGATGTTGACAGTTAATATCCTTTCAAATCGACGTTTGTCTAACGCCAGGCCTTATGCCTTTTTATATCTTAATCAGCCCTGACTTAATAAAGATATCATTTATACACATATTGGAGCGATATTGCTTCTTGAGTGAAGATACGTATTAGTTCTTAATCTATTATTAGATGGAGCGATGTTCTTCTTAAATACAGAAAAAACGTTTACATGGGGCACAAGTGGAATCGAATTTGGATCCACAGATCACGCGAATCGACCGCCCAGAGCGTAAAGCCAGTCAACTCTCTCCATGAGACGTCTTATGTCCCGATTTTGGACATGCGTGTTGTCTGAGATTAGGGGTACGGTCAACGATGTTATAAATGTTTTGAAGCAACTAATCTTTGATTGGTCAATTTGTAAAATTTTTTTCTTTAAAGCATTTATAGAGACTTGATCGCATCTTAGGACATGGCGGTCCTGGATCATGGACTGACGTTGAGGCTCTTGACTACATCGTACGGTCTCATTTGCTTGCACGCGAGACACATTGGCCGGTATTCATAGTTCTTATTTTAAGATCGTTTTAAGTAATGTTTTAAGATGCTAATACGCGTTTCTGTAATTGATTTATAACACCTTGAGACTGTATTTAGATGATCTTAAATATAACAATCGACTATGAATACCGGCCATTTAATCGTCGAAATAATGAAATGACGCGAAAAGATGAAGAAACGAAAAAAGATAGGGATTATCTAATCTGCGTGTCGTAAACCGATTCACAGTTTTGTGTGTACTTGCTACCATTTTTACGGATAAAAAAGATGATTTTTGACTGCTTTTTTTAGGAGACACAGTCGACACAAGTATTTTTCTGTCTTTATCATTCATTGAATGTCGAAAAGGATAAAACGAAGTTTATGTCGACTGTATTTCCTAAAGAGAAAACAGTTTTAGAATGAAATACACGAGTAAAGTTATTGTAAATTGTATATTCTTAAAGGAAGAAAGGATTTATCATCAAAGAATAGTATATAATAAATCTGTTGCTAGACATGGTAAACAATAATAAAATAGAGATTGGTAAAATGCGAATAGTATTATATTGCTATTCAATTACGAGATTGACTTTGGAAGCATTCATCGAGGAAAGTTTTTTGTAGAATCATTATTTATATAAAATGTAAATTGAAGATCATCTTTAATCGAATATAAAAAGGTCGCTCTTTAAATCTTAAGATTACGAAATCGAAAATATCTTTCTTTTTTCTAAGATTTTACCTATAATGTCTACTATTTATTCATTTTTAATGCAAATTTTCATTCGTTTTCTCATGCGATTATTATATGTGGAAAATGTAAATATTAACGGGAAGTAGCACGAGAGAAAAATTCTAATTCAGAAGAAATTAGCTAACTTGAAATGAAGGGAAGTAAACTGTAGATAATTCGCTGATTAAAAGATTCATTCATTAGATCTCGATACAGATCAGTTTTAAACAGAGATCTTGTAGCCTTTGATCTCTACTGGAAATGAGACGATCGATGTTGACTTCTTTTTTCCTCAAGTAGAATTTTTTTCTTAAATAGAATCTCTCCATTCTTTTGAGATCGCCGGAATTGAGTTATCCTTTCATTCTGAAATAACTTGTCCAGCCTGACTTTCGCTCTAATGATATCTGACATGGTTACATGGCGTATGTGCAGTGAAAGACAAAAAAAATTCAATTTAGAGGGCAGCTGTCTCAAAATCGGGGGTTGGTAAAGACTAATGTTTTTTTTTTTTAAATAAAACATATGTTTTTTCTTAAATATATTTTTAATGCTTCAAATATGGTTTAAACAGTACTATAAAAGAAACATATTTAAAACATATTAAAAACATCAATTAAGCATATCCTAAACTGTTTAAAACACGTTGCTCAAAACGGAGAGCTTCTATTGTGATTAGTCTGTTTGGCGTAATATGGATTGATCTGATTGCCTGCCTATTAAAAAATAGTTAATCAAGAACGGTTGACACCACTAAGCTTCTAATCGTTATTAAATTCAACTGCGAATTGTAACAGAATCAAATGACAATTGCGATAGTTACCGGGTCATTGCCAGAGTTTATTGAGAACGTGACGATGAGAGTAGCTACTCGTTTAGCAGACCCAATTGAGAAAATGATGGTAAGAATAACTTCTATTTAAGAAGGTGATGGCCGAGAAGTACAATTTTGCGAATTAACATCCACCAAATATATATATATATATATATCGTTCGGATCTTCGTAATGCGAAGGATACAAGCGTGTACGAATGTCTTCGCGTATGACTGTCGCATTCTTCATTTACATTCTTTATCAGTAGTTTTTGTATTTTTGTTTGTTTGTGAAATTGTTCTCGGAAACGAATTCTACTGAATCTCTCAGCAAGATGCTATAATTATAAATCTAATTAATCTGACCGCGCATATTTAACTTTTATTCGATTAGTATATTCATATCAGGGAATAAAACGTTATTATATTATATATTATATTCGCGTAAAGAAAGAAACTGTCATTGTAGTGTTTAATTCAATATGCAAATAGGATCCGCGAAAATAGGATACACTTCATATATATATATTATTGTTTAACAATATTATATACATATTGATATGCATTGTCTCAATAAATACGTGAAGAAAAATACGTTACGATGCAATATAAACTTCGAATAAAAACATTCCATCAAAACGACTGCTCTTTAAATATTTGTTTTCTTTCGAAATAAATTGGAATTTTATTTACGTTAAACGCGCTCGATTTTATCTAAGCTTTCATAATACATGAGTTTCTAAAGGACGAGATAAAACAATCAATTAAATTTAACATATCTCTAAAAGCAAATTATATCGAGTGATAAAAAAATGTACGAGCGAGATATGTAACTTTTTATGTACTTGCGCAATCACAAACTCATATAATGCGTTAGATGTCAATTAGATATTCGTGAAAATGAGATGAACGGTGTGTGAAAATAACCGCGATATAAGTATGAAGCGATTAACGTCGGCAAATATTGCGCATCACTAACTATAACATATCACACTGCGAGAAACATTGTAACACTTCAGCAAGTGAGCAATGAAATCACGTGTCGGAAATACGCAATTAACTAATGATATTTTCAGCGATGTAGAAATGTCTCTTCTACACGCGATGAATTAACCGAGACAACCGAGTTGACCGTTTTTGTACTGGAAATGTACATGAATGGGTACCTCATCGTGGTCGTTGGATCGTATTAACGTTTCCACAATGTTGTCATAGTATTTTAAAAGGACTAAAGGGACAGGGCAGCAAATTAGATGCGTAAATCGGCATGTCCGGTTACGCGCTAACACGGAGCAACGAAGAGTATGCACATTCCGTCTTTTTAGACACGAGTGAATGCATACCTATGTAAATCCTGCCGCCGCGAATAGATTGTACCTGCCTAAGGATTACTCTATTTATTTTTTTTTTTTCTTTTCTTTTTGCCAAAAGATTTTGAACACACGTGTATATTTGTACAGAAGTGTTATTGATAAGCGAGCGCCGTTGTAAAATGTGTAAAATAGATAAGATAAACGAGTCTGTGTAAACATTGTAAATAATATATTGTAAAGTGTCGTGCGATATGTATATTCTTATATATTTTACTATTATCTTCCTAGTTTCACACGATTGTATACAGAGAGTGCGTGTGTAAATATTAAATAAATTTAATATAGCAATAACGAAAAAATATATTTTATACTTTTCCAGGTGGTATTACAGCAGACGTCTTTAACAAAGAGGGATAGCAGCACATAAAATCGAACAATACGTGCAAAAAGTATCTTAACTCACACAATTTGTATATCTTGAAAAGTATATTTAATTTGATTTTATTTATCACAGTAATTACAGTTAAAATTACGGTGAAAACGTCAGCAAAAATTGAATGCAGTGGCTAATTATTTAAAATACTTTATAACGCAGCGACTATAGCCAATAGTAAAAATCTACGGTATGCATAACGTAAACTATAAATTTTCAGCAATGTATATCGGAACACGGCTTCTTATGTAGCAATACTATTTATCATCTAAAAAGTACGTTTAATATAAAAAGACACAATATCCCAGAGTGTATCACTGAATAAATTGTATCAATCTTATATATATCGTAAAACACATCTTTCACGTGATAATTTTTTTATACAATTTTGTTTAAGTCACACATCGGTGTTTTTCACGAGATTGAAAATCCTGATTCCATATAGATTAAATTATGTATATGTGATAAAATTTTTAATTACTCGAATATTTAATGTATTTTTTGTATAAAAATATTAAGTATTATATGCTTTGTATAAGAAAATTTCGATTTTTTTGTAGCAATGTTAAAGACTTGTCAAATCTGATTAAGTCCAGGCCCATGAAGTTCTATAAAGCCCTCAAGTGAACGTGGAACGTTACCACGATATGGTAGGTCATAAGTCTTAATTGCTTTGGCTGCCATACACGTTAAGGACAATTTGGTCCGAGTACGTAATATTATTTTAGCTAGGCCTGAAATAGGAATTAAATTGAATTTTGGCCAAATAATCACATGATAATGCAACAACGAAATAAGCAAATCAGTAATAAAATTTACAAATTTACCCGTAGTAACCGCATCATACGGAGTTTGACCTCTATTATTTATAGTGTCCATATGTGCTCCAGCTTCAATCAGATTTATTATAATTGAATGTAAGGTCGCAAAATCACTGAAAAAAATATTTTAAAAATGATCAAATCTGTATCAGTATAAAGTTGGGTAATATTAATTTTAACAGCATACCTAATTGCTTTACTGTAACCAACAATAACGTGAAGCGGCGTATTTCTTTCGTTATCCATTGCATTTACGTCAGCACCGCAATGAATCAATAATTGTGCTGTAGCTGCACACGGAAATCTGGAAACCAAACAAATAATTTGTTCAATATTTGATTGTAATCCTATCTTTATATGGCATTAATCCTATTTTATTATATGACATACTTGCAGACATCATTAGTATGAAAATCGTCGACAGGAGTTTCAGCATTCACAGCAAGATGTAGTAAAGTCTGTCCATCTTTCAAACATACTTTTAACGCACATAATTTGTGTATTAGATGATGTGCCTGTGTCAAATCTGATTCATCGTTCTTTTCATTAAGAGTCATCAGTTTTGTCAGAATCGTTAAAATGTATAGAGTTGTTGTAATATTCGATTCCATCTCTTCCTATGAAGACATTATTTCTAAATATATAGAGATATGTTTTTGTCACAATAATATGATTGTCGCATGCACTAATCTCGTCTATTATGTCGACATATTCATAAAAATACTTCATGTAATTCACCTATTGTTGCTTTTTTGCTAACATAAGCAGTTGAACTATGGCATTAGCTATGCAAGCGAAAAGAACATTCCTTAAAAATCGCAGAAAAATATATTGTCGAGTGCAAACACACTAAACGTCAAAAATGCTTGATTATAGTGTAAGATGTAGTCCATAAATCAAAGTCTCTTTTTTTTATTGAACTTACAACACATTGATCGATGTCATCCTTAGAATCCGGATTGTGGATTTTGATCTGGTTTCTATTCAACTCTGTTACGCTTGCTTCCAGAACATTTATCACTTGAGAAATATCTAGAGCGACGCCCACGTGTATCATTTGCGAGAAAACTTGCGCAAATCGAAGGAGGTCTGTTACAACGGATATATCATTGAGTTGTCGTAATTTCAAAGCGTGCAACCACAAATCTATACATCTATCAAATCTGGCGTTATCCGCAAATATAGCGCCTCTGAATACTATAGGATGTGGCAGTTCCGGATTGTGGAGGCCTGAAACGCAAACAGTATTAGTTTTGCAAAAAAAGAAACGCAATCTTAATTTATAATACAAGCATAAAACACATATTTACCTAATATTCTCTCCCGAATAGCAAGCGATTCCATATGTATAGCATTGGGATTATCTTTGATACTTTCTAAACTTTCTATTGTTTCGCATTCTTTCCAATTCTCATATGCTTTCACAGTTGAACCTAGTTGCTTATGTACAATATTTTCAGTATCACTATACCTAGAACGAGAAAAATATACAACGTAAAAGTGACTCGGTAAGATAGAAATAAATGTTTATTCTTTTACCTTAATTGCATTGCCTTCCATAGATATATGTATGCCATATTTAGACTATAATTATCTTTATCATTAGCGTACGATGCTCCAAGTAGTTCATAAGCATCTATTTTTTCTTCCTTTGTCATTTCTGGCCTTTTTACTAGATATTCAACGACGTCCTCACGTGACCGTTCGGCACCCGTTATTAAAGGCGTCATACCACTCACATTCTTCGTCATTTGCGCTCCATACTTCAACAGCTCGTGCACGATAGTACTGTGCCCACATTCAGCAGCAAAATGCAATGCCGTTGCCCCACAATATGCTTTCTTGTTTGGATCTGCCGCTTTGTCTAATAGAAAACTAACCTAAATCACATTAAAAAATTGGAAAAATTTATGTAACAATGTTTGCACAATAAATACACGACGAGCAATGGAGTTTTTATAATATGAGCATACTCACAATATCCAAGTGTCCTTTGTACGATGCTATCATAAGGCAAGTATTGTTAAACATATTGGGAATATTTATATCTGCTTGATGATTGATCAAATATTTAACAATGTCTAAACGTCCATTAAAGCATGCCGCTCGAAGCGGGGTAGAATTAGTCTTCGTTGTATGGTTGACATTTGCTCCTGTCTTCACGAGAGTTTTAAGAACGTTTAAGTGTCCTGCTCCTAAAAAAAAAATCAACACGAGTTATTAGCACTACACAATTATTATAATATTTTGTTTATATATATTAGTCTTTTAATATACCTGCTGCAGCCCAAAGCGCAGTAGCTCCTTCGATAACGTATCCATTGAATTTCACCGTTCCTTCCTGTTCTAAATCAGGTTTAAACTTGTCAAGCAACATTCTGACTACTTTGCTATGTCCATAACGCGCGGCAACTATTAAAGGTGTGCACCTTTGTCCGTCATCTTCTAGAACCTTCTGTAAATATAAATTCAAATACAAATCTAAATATTGACTGTGTTCAGTAGAAAAAACAGTTTTGCAACCATTGTAAAATTCTTGAATACGATTGGTTTATACATTTAGGTCCAGTGAGGAACTAAGAGCAAGGCCAATCAATTAAAGAATTTTACAATAGTTGTAAAACTTTTTCTCTTGAATGCAATCATTGTTGTATAAACATAATTGCATTTTTTTTTAATCTCGATTAATTATAAGCAAATAATTTTTTATTATTTAATAAGTTGATTATTTAATAAGAAAAAATTAAATATATTATATGTTTAAATTAAAAAATAACATTTGAGAAATTATATAATATTTTATATATAATTTGCATAAGGTTTATAAAATTAATAATAATATAACAATAATGTTTGTAATATAAAAAGAATTTAAAATCTTATAACCTATATTATAAATAACATCTACACAGCTTTCTTCGCGTATGCACATATCTAAACAAGTGTTGCAAGTTGTCCTGAATAATTCTTTGTGGGTATCATGACATAGATGCACTTTATATTTATATATATAAGAACAATTTAGTCAGGAAATTTTAATTATGTATATGTTGATTAGTAAACATGTGGACATAATATTTTTTTCAATTTAAGTGTAGACAATATACAATTCAAAGTACCATTGCAAATTCACCATGTTGCAATAAATAAAACTATTTTATAAAAAAGAATTAAATTAAATTAAATAAAAATATATCAAATCGCTTGTAATTCAATTAACAAACCTGTTGTTGATAAAATGTTATTTGCAAAGAATTTATATTAATTAGTATGGCTTACTGAAATGTTTAGTAAGTACACATATACATTGTTAATATGGGTGCCCTCAATTTGATGACACAAATCAATACAAGTATTGTTCGTTTTCACCAATGTAGATTAATTTTAATCTTGATATAATTTATGCTTCATTTTTTTTAATTCTTAAAATTGGAAAAAAATAAGAGTAAGTTAATTCGGAATTAAAGTTAATCTACACTGGTGGAAATATAGGTATAAATGAAAAGCACTCTATGTTTGCTAACAATAGTGAACACATTTTTCATTTTTTTCTTTTCCTACAATCTTAAATTATCGTATATATCTCTTAATAAGTACCTAACATCAATGAATTTTATATCAATTTATTTTATTATTAATACTTTTAACGTAACATGTGCATAAATTATGCTATTTTAAAGTGCCTCATATCACGCCTTTCTTTCTAAGAAATAGAATGGTTCATAATTCAAATAGTAATTGAATAAAAAAACAGCAAATAATTATATACAGGGTGATTCATTTTAACAGATAATTATTTCGAAAATATTTAATTTTACCAAGACATGCTAAATAAAAGTTGTTTAGTATAAAAGGAGACAATAAATCCCTCTCTACACCATACTTTTATTTGGTAAAAAAGGAAAATATATATAAAAATATATATATTTTCTAAATATTTACCTCTATTACAATAAAACATTCTGTAAATAATAATTTATTATTTTTAACACTTATTGCAATTGCAATTTTCTAACAGAACAAAGGTCAATATTTATTCACAATTAATCAAGTGTTTTCGACATTTGTTAGAACATCTGATCGAACAGTGCAATTTTGCGAGTGATGAAAAGTGAAAGGTGACGCAATAAAATATTACGATTTACCTGGTTAATCAAACAATTGACTTCGACATCAGACTTGTCGTTCAGCAGGGTATAAAGAGCGATCGCCATTCCATCCCTTGCCGAATAATAAATTCGCTTGACCAGCGACTGTTGGGGCTCGTCGATTATCTCGCTGGTAGTGTCCATCCTCGCGAGTGGCTCGTGCCCGAGCAACGTTTAGGAAAAGAATTAGCCGAGCCCACTCAGATACGTGGTAACCTCAAAACTCATGTTCCTCGCTCGTCATCAGCGCGCGGAAAATACATCGCACGTTACCGTCGTCACTGCCGCAGTGCCGTCGCCGTCGCCGTCGTCGTCGCGATCTATTTTAAGATTATGTTGCACGCAAAAATATAGCGATTTCGAATGCAAAAATAAACCACGACAAAGCGGCTTTTACGCGGCGTCGCGAGCCCCTTTGTAACTTTGTCGCTACGATGTCAACGGCAAACGTTGATATGCGGCGATTAGGCCGCGAGATCCCCGTTCACCTTCGCGATCGCGTGCCACTCATTTGAAAGCGCAGCAATTCGCCGAACGAATCCGAATCATTTGCTACTCGTTGCGGCCACGTTGTTTACTTGTTCTACCTGCAAGCTTCCGGTCACCGATGGATCCGACCGTCCGACGAATGTACATTGGACACGTTACAGAATGTGTCGTGACGTCACGAATTGCGATCGACGACAATCGCTTGCTCACGGAGGCTTTGGATTGGGCTTTTCGATGTAATCGACGTAAATCGCCCAATGACGACGCGGCGTTTGTTCTCACCAGTGGAACTTGCGATGAAAATTGGCGGAATTGCGATTTTCCGGAATATAAATTATGAAGTGATATTTATAAAATCTTGGAATCAATTACGCATCTTGAAAATTATAAGAGTGAGCAAATTTCTATTTTTAATTTTAATCTCTGTTCAACTTATTCTTTATTTTTTTTTTTTTCGATCTACTAAAAAAAGATGAAGAGTTAGTTGATTCAAGATTAAAATTAAATTACATTGGTAGAGAAACTGGCATAAGTGACGATCAAGGAAATTATAAATGTTCTAATGAATTGGCTCATTTTTTTATTTTTTACACCTTATATTTCACAAGATATATAATCAACTTTTCTCTTGATTTTATATTTATTAATTTTTCGTAGACATGAAGTTTTTAAAGATACTTTGATTGTGAATACTAATGGATATATTTAAATCTGTACAAACAAAATACAATCCGATTTTTATGGCAAAAATTTGTTGTTAAATTCTTTGACAAATATATCAGATTTTTGCTCAGATTTTTATATAATCAAATATTGCTGTGATAAAAGAATTAAAATTCCATATTGCTGACGGATGGTTAAAATCATCTCAAATATATGTATATGATTTCGATATGCTACATGATTATCTAAATTGATGCTACATTTCTTTGTCTAGATAGGAATCTGAAAATCATCTCAAAATAGATTTATAAGATGATATTGGATGTAATACTACTTCTAAATTTTACCTCGGCAAAAGAAAACAAGAAACGATGCAGTTGACGATATTGCAACCAATATACATATATTTATACGAACTTGTTGCGTATCTCGTGTAAATGCGCAGATATCGTGACTCGCAAAATTTTACCCGCAATGTACGAGAGATTCTTTATAAAAATATTTTTTTCACTGAAGTTTCAATGATAGGATAACTCTATATACGTTAGAAATCAAATCGAAAATTTTCAAACTTCGAAATTTATTTGTATAGAATTTTTATGAACTTTCATACATTAATAAATTCTATAAATATAAATTAATAACCGTAATAACGTAAATTAAATATATATTCAAATCTACTGTGAGCGACTCACAAAACTTGTTTTCTATTTGGTACTTGTCACATTATAATTAAATTGCAATCATTTTAATAGAGTCGATCCTTATTATTCTCAGACATGAGAACTTAATCTCTATGTATATAATACTTCTGTAATATATCTGTCGCTATACTTTTCATTTTGGATGCACACATATGCGAACAGTTGCAAACGTTCTTTCATTGTTATTTATATGTATTTATTAACACATTATAAAAAATGTTAAAAGATAACTAAAAATATATATTTATATATAATTGTAAATAGTATATATTCATTTATT